AGAATGATGAGGGCAATGAATGTACAAATGCGCTTTACACAATTGATGTGTGTATGGATTGTGATAAGAGTTGTATGAGCCCCTAATAAAATGATATTTTAAAAAATGTTGAAAAGCAAAAAAAAAAAAAAAGAAGAATTGTTCACGTTCTGCATACTTTGCAAAGTCTTGGTGCCTGTTGGCATCAATACTTGTTAAGTCAAACAAGTGTAATCTTTACTATAGACTATCCAAAAACTATAGTTTAAAGGTCTGATTTTTTCAAAAATATTCACACCTTTGAAGCATAAATACTCTTGCTCCCTACAGACCAAACTGTCTGTATTCATTTAGCAGTAACTCACAAGTTTGAAAGCCTGTGACAGTCATTTTACCACCCTTCTGTCAGCATATCGTGCTGTGGCCGCTTACGTGCTACTGTGATGTTAGATGTTATGCCAATAGTATTTCAAATACCAGCAGAATAACCCAAGGTAGACAGATTTCAGCAGATCTTCAGGACTAAGACAGACTAGGAAGAAAGGCTTGGCAATTTAAATCCAAAAGTTAGCCAATAATAACTTTATGGGATCATGACAGAACATTGCCCAACACTGTTGCTTTAGGCTTGTCATCAGGAGGTACCAATTGTTGGAGAAGAGGAGAGCCAGTAAAAGACGTGAAGACACCCAAGGATATAGCCTGTTTCAACAGCACAAAGATGGAACTAAACACGCTGGCTGGTTTCATTCTTCTGTCCAAAAAGTCAACATGAGCCAGCAGCTAGCTAGCTATCTGAAAGTATGTTTTCAGATTTCAAAACTTTACTACAGTACTTAATTCATCAGTAAAATACATATTCTTTTAAAACAAATTAACCCAATAGTTTCCTTCTTTCTTTTTTGATTAATATTTTTCTTTTTGCATTGCAATTTTTTTATATTCAAGGGTTACAAAAGATTTGTTTTTTTAAAAAATCGTTACTGTTATAGCTAAAATCTCTAGTATAAATATCTTGAGTTGAATTTGTATTTTGTTTATTTTGTTTATTTTTTTTGAATTTGTTTATTCTTCTGGTATAAACACTCTGGCGTGGGATTCCCTGGGTGATAGAGTTCACTCTCTCATCTGCTAACTAGAAAACTGGAAGTTGGAGTCATCCAGATGCCTCTCTCTCCACCCCACCCTCCAAGAAAGGTCTAGAACCATACTTTCAAAGAATCAGCCTTTTAAAATGTTATGGCACACAGTCCTACTCTAACATATAATGGGTTGCCATGAGCTGGAGTCAACTTGATGGCAGCTGGTGGTTTATAAAAGCAAGCACCTTAAAAATAAGAGTGGTTCTTAACTCAAACCAAATTATACCAAAAGCTTTAAATTTTCCTTACAGAGAGGCAGGAGAAAGACGAGGCTCTGTATTCTCCTAAAAAGGTAGCGTCTCAGAAACCCACAGGGGCAGTTCTACTCTGTCCTCTAGGCTCCCGAGGAGTTGGAGCTGACTTGGTGGTAGTGAGTTTTATCAGTGAGGTGTCGCGGATAAGTAAAATTTTACTAACATCATTATTAAGCTACTTTCTATCATCAGTCTCATCTATCGTTTCCTCCTTCCTTCACCAGCCACATAATTAGTACTTAATACTAATAAATTATTTGATAAGATTTAAAATCTAATCTGCATCAACTCAAATGTGTCAAGCAAATAAATCATGGTAGCGTTCCTGGACTTCTTGATGATGCCAATCTGTCGGAGATTCTGATTTAGTAGGTTTTATGTGGGTCTGGCAATTAAAAAAATGTTTTTACTCTGGTTTTGGTGAAAATTTCCACAGTAAATTTAGCTCCCAATTGAACAATTACTACACAAACTATTCAACGACATGGGTTACATTAACAATTTTTTTCTCATTAATTCCCTTAAAGATGTTTCGCTTCCAATAATCTGGTATCCCTGTTACTTTACCTCTTCATTTTTGCTTTAGAGTAATTGTTAAGCATTTGGTTTCATACAGATGGTTTTTTTTTAAAAGGGTGCACAGTATTCACTGGTAATAGAGTCCTTTAGTTTTAACTAGCTCGGTAAGTCCAGAGTTTAACTTTTTTTGGTTGAGAAATTCTAAGTTTATTTCTACAAGCACTTGACAGAAGGAAACAGTGAGCTTTGAAACGTCTCAAACTGCTTCAGAAATTCAGTGGAAAACAAGCAAGTTGTCTAAACTATGTAGCAGGTTTGTTACAATGAACAGAGAGGTAGGTCCAGATTTTCCAAAGAATTGTTTTTAATGTTTCTTCCCCCTGCCCCTTATATCAGGATCCATTTATTGGAGTGCTGATTAGATTGGTCTTAAAGGGTAGTTGGACACCTTCTAGTTCTGGCCTCAGAGTGGCTATGGGGCCATTGTTCATGAGTAGACTGCTAGTTCTATACTCTAGCTTCTTCTCTGAGCATTTGGTTTCTTTCTTTTTCTGTTGCTGTAGATGAGACGAGATCAATAGAAGTAGAACAAACACAACAACATAAAGACACTGCCATCAGGTGGATTCCTATTTATAGTAAGCCTACAGGACAGGGCAGAACTACCCCTTTGGGTTTCCAGATTTGAAACCTTTAGGGAGCAAAGAGCTTCATCTTTCGCCTGCCGAATGGCTGGTGGGTTCAAGCTACTGACCTTGTGGTTAGCAGTTCAGTGTCTAGCCCACTACACTACTGGGGCCCCTGAGGGAAAAACTTCAGTATCTTTTCACTCCATTTTCCCCATGAACTTTTAAATCCTCTAGTAGTAAAAACTAACTTTTAACTGAAACCTAAACCCATATGTAACAAGCTAAGCTTATTAAATTATTCTTCTCATTCTAATCCAACTTAAGTTGAACTTTAAAGAAGATCAAACTGTGGTGGTATTCTTTCTAGTTTGGGGTTTTTTGTTTTTTGTTTGTAATGATTGTTCTTTCTTTTTTTAAAAAGTTTTATTGGCACTTCATCCACACGTCACACAATTCAATATTTCAATCATATTAAGAAGAGTT